TCCATATGCACATCCCATCCCTGTAGGCGGACACCTGGGGTCAAGCTTGCAGCTGGATTCTCGGCCATGGCTTATGACTTAGGGTTTAGGGTTTAGGGTTTAGGGTTTAGGGTTTAGGGTCTAGGTTTTAGGTTTTAGGGTCCAGTGCTACATTTGGGGCTGTGCATAGCCTTAAACGCCAAATCCGAAGAAGTAAACTCTGGGGTTTTCCTTGCTCTTCCTCCCTGTGCTTCACCCCCAAAGCCTAAACTTTAAACCACTAAACCCTAAAGCTCTAAACCCCAAACCTCAATACCTTAAACAATACTCGGCGTTGCTCCGGTTAGCTCTTAGGACTTGAACTTTTTGGGTTCCTATATGAACTATAAGAAGAAGGCTAAAAGTTTAACTTCCAGGAGGGGTTCAGGAGTCAGCCAAGGTTTGTGGTGCGTGCATATAGGCTCCTTAGCCCCAGCTAGACCCTAGGAGACTAAACCCAAAAACCTAAAACCGCCCAAAACCTTTGATCTAAAATCCTAAACGCTGAAACCCTTGACCCTAAACCCTAGACCCTAATCCCTAAACCCTAAACCCTAGACGATAAACCCTAAACCCTAAACCCTCGCAGGATCTTGGCTCGCTGCCAAAGAGCCGAGGCCTCGGCCAAAGCGCAGCCCTGGGACTTTGTGGGACTTGGGTTTTTTTGGGTGCAGGCTTTGGGGTTTAAGGGTTTTAGGGGTTTTAGGGGTTTAGGGGTTTGGGGGTTTAGAGTTTAGGGTTTAGGCGTTTAGGGGTTTCTGGGTTTAGGGGTTTCGGGGTTTAGGGTTTTAGGGTTTAGGGTTTAGGGGTTTAGGGTTTAGGGTTTAGGGGTTTAGGGTTCAGGGTGCAGGCTTGGGGGGGTTTAGGGTATAGGGTTTGGGGGATTTAGGGGTTAAGGCGTGAGGGAAGGCTGAGGCTTGCTCCCAAAGGTTTATGGTTGTCTATAGGGTTTCATTGTGTTTTTTAGGGTGTCATTGGTTTTTGCAGGGTGTTTTGGAGGGCGCTGTAGGATTTTTCTGGTGGTTGTGGAGGGTTCTGGGGTTCGCCTTTGCTGTCAATGATTTAACGTTCAACGAGTGGGTTGTGGGTTGTGGGATCGAAATTTAGAGTATCTAACGGCGGTATAGGGTCGTATGTGCAGGGCGAAGCTTGAATGAGCTGGATCATAAAGGGCTGAAGACCAAGGTGGATGGACAAAGGGAGCTGTGGCTCCTGACATGTTAAGTTGGTCTGCGGTACTTTCGGTGTTAGGTTGTATGCGGTACTTTCGGGCAGGATTTGCCGGGTTCCATAGGAGTCTTGTGAAGGATGGCTTGAATTGGCTTACACGTCGTCTTACAATTATAACCATCGCACCGCAAGTCCGAAGTTGTTACAAAATCACCGCCCCACCCCCCAGAAAACAACTTGATAGTTGTGTGGCCTTGAAGCTTGAACAGTGGTGGTTTTCCTGTGACTCCAGTTAATCCGACCAGCAGCTTGCAACCAAGTCAGCTTCAGATAGGAATGTGAAACCCGAAGCAAGACAAGGTGACATAGGGAAACTCTCTCGCGACAGATCAGCAGAAAACTTCCCGGCATCCTAGAACCCTAAGGCAGCCGCTCTCTGCTGAAGAAAGTTGATGTTTGCATTGCGGAACGGCGGGCATCCGCGTCTGCTGCCGCCAGGGTCCTACGTCCTACGTGCGTTGCGTTTTGTTTCGGATTGAGGTGTGTATGTATGTACATACATACATATATATATATACATGTGTATATGCATACGTAGATGTGAATATATGTGTGTGTGTATATATATATATATGTATATCTACTGTTTACAGTTATGTTTCTCCTCAAGTCTATAATCATAGTCATCTCTCATATTTATATTAATGTTCATTTTCTTTTTGCCGCATACTTAAATTTGTTTGTATTCAACTTGGATTCAGATTCATACTAAAAACTTGCTACACATATACACACATGCAGGCTTGCATTTCGATGTATGCTCGTACTTGTATGTGTGCTTGATTGTTTAGCCGTACAGAATTTGTTCTGGTGGTGTGGGGTATGCATGGTAGAATATACAGGTTTCAGCATGTGGGTTTTCAGGTTGGGGTTGGAGATTTAGGGTCACGAGGTTGAGGTATTTGTTGTAGGGGTTTGGTATAGGGGCCTAAATAATTACCTACATTATTTCGGGGTTCCTTATGATGATTATAGTATAGTATACCCCCAAACCCTATTAAACTTATTAAGGCCCTTATATTACTAAGTTCCGGTCGAAGACTCTCAGAGGTGAACTACCTTGAATCTCCCGCGCCCGGGGCTCCTTATTGTAAATATGGTGTAATGGGTCCCAAAACCCTAGTAAAAAGTTATTGAGGCCACTACATGAAACCCCGAAAGATCCCACGGAGGTGCTCCTGGAGTGCGTGCAGGCACTGCAGGGATGGATGTCTCGGATTCAGAGTTGCAGGCCTAGGGTGTAGGGTCGGGGGTTTAGGGTTAGGGACTACGACGACAACAGCAGCAACAACAACGACAACAACCAAGACGACCACCACCTCATGCCCCCCAACCACCACCACCAGAACCACCACAACCACCACAACCACCACAACCACCACCACCGCCACCACCACCACCACCACCACCACCACCACCACCACCACCACCACCACGACAACGACGACAACAACCACAACCACAACCAGAACAACCACAGCAGCCACAAACACAACAACCACAACGAAAAAGCAACGACGACGACAAGCACCACCACCGACCATAAAGCACAACACCAGCAGCAGCGCATCAACAACAGCAGCATGCAAAGCAATGGCGGGTAAATGGGGAAGACAAGTGCTTCTATAACAAAAGCCATAGCCATAGGCCCCATAGTAATTCTTTTTTTGGGTTCATATTTAGAATCCTTGAAGGTAATCCCAAAAAGGAACTATTATGGGGCCTATGGGTAGCTGTAGGACTGTAGGAGTAGTGCGAAAACTGTTTACCTTTCCATGTTCATCATGTCAGTGTAGGGCCTGGCTAGAGTGTCTACGATCAAAGACTCGAACTTATCTTTATCGATCATGGTAGTAAAAGATACCGTTGCATTCACAGCTGTGTTCGCTGCTACGGCTGCTTGAGCCAGAACCCAAAAGGTCCTCAAGCATAAGCCGCATTTGTAGACCCTAAGCCGACATCATTTTGACCCTACATCCTACGCCTCAAGCGCACAATCAAACCCTAAACCCTAAACCCTAAACCCTATTGCCTGCTATTTTGACCCTTCCGGCGACCCATGATTGCGCTCTGCCAGTCCCTCGCCGACAGTCTACAGCTCCTGCACTTGCACAGGCTGTGCTGGGGTTCTGTGGGTTCAGAGCGGCCGACTGTGGGGCTTGCGAAGGGGTGGTTCTCCAAACCAGGGTCCCTTTTAGTGTCCTTTTGTTAGGGTTTACGGTTTAGGGTTTCGGGTTTAGGGCTTTTGTTAGGGTGCAGTACGATTTTGTGGGGCCTACTTACAAAGGGGCGCTAATTTAAAGAACTACCCACATCGATGTCCCGCGACTGACTCCAAAAGGAGAGTACGGCGCTTATATAAATTGGACTCTAAAAGGGGCCCTAATTTAGGAAACCACCCCTAAACCCTAAACCCTAAACCCTAAACCCTAAACCCTAAACCCTAAACCCTAATCCTTCTATAAGTGTTCACGGTCTTATGGCTTCAGGCCGAGGACTTGGAGGTTTCAAGGCTTCGGGTGTAAAGCTTTAGCCGTTAGGGTTTAGGGTTTAGGGTTTAGGGTTTAGGGTTTAGGGTTTAGGGTTTAGGGTTTAGGGTTTAGGGTTCAGGGTTTAGGGGTTTAGGGATTTTAGGGCGTTTTAGAGCTTTTAGGGTTTAGGGTTCAGGGTTTAGGGGTTTAGGGATTTTAGGGCGTTTTAGGGCTTTTAGGGTTTAGGGGCTTCGGCTTATAGGCTTCGGGGTTTTTTGGTTGCAGCGATCACGTGTTGGTGGGGTGGTCCATTGTGCTACTCCGGTCTGTTGTGGGCATCGTTTACGTAAAGTTAGGGTTTAATGAGGCTGCTTACGCTTCCTTGGTTCAAGGTTGCATTTCCTCGTCACTTAGCTCAGGTTTCGGGCTGAGTGTTTACGAAGGTTAGTGATCTTGGTGATGATCATCTTCCGGTAAGAGCCGCGGCGAACAGCAACACACCTACACGTCTTTTCCAAGTATGCATGCATGCATGGGTGTGGAGTTCGCTTCAACCTTGCGTACCTCTCTTTCTGTACGTTGCATTGGCTACTGCATCCTGTCCTGGCTTCCGTGCTGCGGAGTACTGAAACCCTAAACAGTAGGTTTGGTCATTTGGGTGGTTGTCAAAATTATGGTTCCTTTTTGGGTCCTTGTTATAGTACGGCACCTATTATTTAGGGTACCCCAAAAGGGACCCTAATTTAGAAAACTACCCATTGATGTATGACTCAGCTTCTCCGGTACGATCGTAAGCCTTCGTTGCACAGGCTGGCGGGTTTCTCGGGACTTCCGGTTGGAGAAGAGGAGCACGCGGCACCGACCTCAGTCCTCAGTCGTCGGGTTTAGGGTTCGCTTTGTCATAGTTGGGTAACATTTTACATTTTTAAGGGTACTTAAACCCAATAAGGAATATACATTTAGATTTTTGATACTACCCCAACAATGAACTAGTTCAGGGTGTGGGGTCCAGGGTTTAGGGAGCCAGACTCATTTCTTCGCACTGTTGCTGCTATGGGGCGGCCTACGAAATTGGGCGATGTTGCAGTTTGCAGTGCTGCAGTGTTGGGCCCCTGCATGCTCTTAATATATACCCAACGTTATGCATCAAGAGCTCCCCCAGCTTAGAAGGCACTCGGACCGTGAAGAAGACTGTAAAGACTCCGGCCCCGTCACCTCTGGCCCACGTTTGTTATCATCTGACCTTCTGTTCAGGATGTGCCCGCAGCTGCTGCGCGTGCGCGGGGCGACCTCTTCTTTGAAGACACGGTGGATGCCCTGGGAGATTGCATGCCTGCTGACGATAGATGAAAATTCAGCTATGAATTGGAGATCCTTCGCCATAGGTGGGGTCGTAATTCGTCTCCTGCGTTTTTGTCGGCTACTTTATACGTTGCATTGACCCGATTGTAACCTGGCAATGTAAACCCCCAGCTTTTGTATTCCTATGTGCCTTCGAAACCCTGCCCTTGTGCCCTAAGCTGACAAAATAACGTTGCAATCGTGAGCAGCAAAGGTGAGTGCATTATGACGATGGTGATGGTGGTGATGGTGTTGATGACGGTGATGATGGTAATGATGACGTCGATGATGATGATGATGATGATGATGATGATGATGGTGATGGTGATGATGGTGATGGTGACGACGGTGATTGTGATGACGATGGTGATGATGATGGTGGTGGTCATGGTGATCAGAATGACGAGGAGGAGGACGAATATCGTGTTGATGACGGTAGTGAGGACGATGCGGGTGATCATGATGATGACGATGATGACGACGATGATGTTGGTAATGGTAATGAACTTTGACGCTGATGACCATTACCTAACGTTGTTGTGATGAGCAACACGCTCATATATGTCAGGAGGGTTGGTATTATTTGCTATTGCCGTCGTCGATGCTGCTAGCCACAATTGCCACTTCCACTGCTGACATTCCTTTCCGATCTCCATTCTTGCTGTCCTAAACCCTAGACTCTAGACCCAAAACCCAAAACCCTAAACCCTAAGACCTAAACCGCGGCTCTTTTCTCCTTCATGTCGTCAATATAGTACGGCACCATTCTAAAAAGGACCCCAACAGGGACCCTAATTTAGAGAACTACCCACATAGCATTCATTGCAACAGCCTCGTATTCGCCTGGCCTCGTCTGGAGGGAGACCTGGGAGTATCCATCGTAGGCCCTTAACCCTAAACCTTAGTTCCAACCTTTAAACTTTTTGGGCTCTTACAAGGTAGCAGCAAGCTGAAATTTTAACCTTGTATTTTTTTGGCTTATCGGGGAAGTAAGAAACCCTAAACTATGGGACCTGAACTCTTAGCTTTGGAACCCCAGAATCCTATTGTTGACGCGAGGCCGCCTTGAGAACATGTTATATTTTCCCTTGTTGGGCTTAAGAGAATCTTATTTACGGGCTTTCAGGGGCCAACCTCGATCATTAGAAACCCAATGCCCTAGTGCTATTCTAAAAACCCTATACCCTAGTGCTATTTTATCAAGCCTAAACCTTATTGCTATTATAGTGAACCTCAGACAGTTGGAACATGGGTTTAGGATGAGTATTGCTGGGATTCCCTGTAGTTTACCTTAAGATGGCCTTAGGGTATATAATGATGTTCAAACTTTCTGGCTTCTGCTGTAAAGAACCCTAAACCCTAAATCCCTAAACCCCTAAACCCTAAACCCTAAACCCTAAACCCCTAAACCCCTAAACCCCTAAACCCTGAAACCAAGAGGCCGGCGACGTGCCTCTGGAGAGCCTTCTGGCCAGATACCCAGCATCGGCCGCTTAGGACCCTTCTTTTGGTATGGGGTTCCTGAAGGCTTTGGGTTTGGGGGTTTAGGGATTAGGGTTCTGGGGTTTACGGTTTAGGGATTAGGGTTTTGGGGTTTAGGGATTAGGGTTTAGGGTTTTGGGGTTTAGGGGTTTTGGGGTTTAGGGGTTAGGGTTTTGGGGTTTTTGGGTTTAGGGTTTGGGGCTTAGGGGTTGTAGGTGCCTTAGTTCGTAGAAGAGGGTTCCTTTGAGGGGTCGAGTCTGTACGGATTTATGACAAGGCTTTCGGGTTCACGGTCTACTATAGCTTGGGGGGCCTGAAGAAGTACAAAAGAATTACAGTATATAGATGTTTGGGTATTGTGTTGTATAACTAGCCGTTTAGCATTCCTTTGACAGTTGGGATTCAGGAGTTTACCCTAAACCCTAAACCCTAAACCCTAAACCCTAAACCCTAAACCCTAAACCGTTTAGGGTTTATGCAAGCTCCCAGGTCTAGGGTGGGCGATTTTTCTTGTAGGCTTCTCAGTTTGTCGGTACTTAGAGCAGCCCTCAGAACCGCTGTAGGCACCCTTATTGCCTGTATTGTATGCCTTAAATCAATCCTTACAGCGGCCCTCAAAGTACTCCCAGAATAGTCCCGAAAAGGGACGCCCTCGTTGAAGCCGGATCCTGAGCTATTCCTCAGTCCCTAAACCCTAAACCTTAAACCCTAAACCCTGAACCCTCAACCCTAAATCCTAAACCCTAAGCCCCTTAAGCCTTGCTCTAGGGTCTAACCCCAAAGCTGCAGGGGCTTAGGGTTGGTACTAGGCAACGGGTCGGATGGCTGCCCTTGAACTTGATTGAGTTTAGCCCAGAAGGCACTACTCCTAAATCCTAGGCTGTCCCTTAGACACCGTAGCAACTACTACTACGACGACGACCACCACGACGACGACGACTACGACGACGACTACTACGCTTACTGCTACTACCGACCCCGACATCCTTTCACCCTATCCTTGAACCGTTAATCTAGACCCAGCGCAAGCCGCTTGCCGGAGGCAGGCGGCAGTGCGGCTGCATTGGAGGCTGGCAACAGGGCTCGGCATCACCCTAAACCCAAAACCCCTAAACTGTTTAGGAGTTTAGGGTTTAAGGTTTACCCCTAAACCCTACACCCTATAAACCCCCTAACCACTTTTCAACCTCAGTTAAACTTCGATCATCGAGGCAGCTGGATGCAAAATTGCAGCAAAATCCAGCAGCTGTAGGCCCAAAAAGGCCCAGGCTCCTTGGTGGAAGGCCCAGGGTTCAGGAGCAAAGGTCAGCCCTAAACCCTAATCTCCTAAACCCTAAGCCCGAAGCCCTAAACCCTAAACCCTAAACCCTAAACCCCTAACCCCGCAACCCTAAACCCTAAACTCAGAGACTTGTCGCGGACTTCCTTCAAAGAAGCTGAAGTGGAGAGGCTCGCGAACGAGATGCATCGCCGAGTTGGGTTCCGGCAAACGCTTGGGTTTAGGGTTTAGGGTTAAGGGTTTAGGGTTTAGGGTTTAGGGTTTAGGGTTTAGGGTTTAGGGCTTAGGAGGCAGAAGCGGCCAGGATTGGCCGTTTGGCATTCCGCAGCTCCCGTCAGGCAGCGGCCGAATGACCGCCGGTGGGGCAGTCAGTGAGCCTCCCAGATCTGATACTTGGAGGATCATGGGACTTAGTAAGTAAGGTTATAAGTCCCTTAATTGAGGTTATACGTAAATATAAGTATAGTTGCCTTAATTATAACCCTACTTACTAAGTCCCATGATCCTTTAAGTAGTGTTCTGGACAAGAAAGCTTAGACGAAACTCCAAGCGCTTCGGCCCTAAGATAGGGGCCTTAATAGCTAGAATAGGGTTTGGGGGCCCATTATACTATAATTCTAATAAGGAGCCCCCAAAATAGTATAGGCAATTATTAAGGCCCTTACCTATATTAGCTACTGGCTAGTCCAGGCAAAGATGCTGGAAGAGCCAGCCCCCAAATCCCCACACCCTAAACCCCTTAGCCTAATCCCTAAACCCTAAACC